TATATATATAAATATAAATAAATAACCAACCAACCTCAGGACATTTACTCAAGGAGATGAACATATTTCCAACAAACACAGTAGTATCTGCTGCTTTAGAAACAGTTCCTTCCTCACTCACCACTTATTATTAATATTTTCAGTTTTCAGTGAAAGACCACTTAAATTTGGGGGGATGTATTTGTCAAAGTGGGTTAATGTTGCTCACGAGGAGAAAAACAGTTTATATTCAGGATGAGTGTTTTTCATTGCTTGTTCCATGCTCTTTCACAGCATGGAACTTAGTGAAAAGCTAGATTGACTGAATACACCTGTGAATACAGCGCTGCTTTCAAATGAAGAGCAAGTGAAGAGCAATTTTCTAGAAGTCAGCAGGAAAGGTATTAACCGCCTATTCTTCCCCAGGGCACCCTTCAGACCTCCCCACCCGGCTACCTGACATCACTCCAGATGTTTAACAGGACCTACAAGCTCTATTCCTACAGGTTTGTTGGTGGGAGTGAGTGTGGGGAGACCTCAGCTCGCATGACACAGCCTCCCCCTTGCCTCTGTTTCCTGCCTTGTGAGGTGACAGAGACAAGGCATTCCTTACAGATGCCAGGACCCCTGCCGTAGACCCACTTGGAGTAACCTCCTCCTCCCCCACCATCCTTTTCCTCTCCTCCCTTCTTCTCCCACTCTGCCTACCATCTGCATCCTCCTCCTACCCACTCTCCTTCCTGCCTTTTCCTCCTTCCTCCACTTTTTAATTTACTCATTGTGCTTATTCTGCTCTACTTTGGATGAGGTTTCCAATAATATGGAAAATTGCGTAATAATTTCCTGGGCCACCCATCCATTTGCTGTATGGCGAGTTCAGTAGATTCTTTCCATAGGCCATTCCATAAGAATGAGGGTTCTCTGTTTCCTGTGCTGTGGCATCCATAGCCCCTAAATGAGCCACTATCAAGGAATAGGCCTTGTTTGAATTGACTAGCTAAGTGCCCTCAACTCCACAAAGAAAGACTTCTAAGAGAAGTAGAAAAACAAAGCCTGCTAACTGCCCTGCCCCAGGTGTCCCCCTTCCCCACTTGTTTCATATGCAGGCCAGATGAATGTGCTGGCAGCATTGTTGAGGACACACCCAGGACTTTCTCTGGCTGGCCAGTCCCACACCCAGTGTTTTCTTTCCACAGCTACCTGGGACTCGGGTTGATGTCAGCTCGGCTGGCAATTCTAGGTGGCGTGGAGGGGAAGCCTGGTGAGTGGAATGTGGGGTTGAGCGCCCTCCTTGCTTAGCAGATGTGAGGAGGCTTCCAGGAGAGTGGGTGCTCCATCCTGGGGGAGGGATGCTCGCCCCCTCCTCTGTCATGGCGCCTCACTGGCCCACTGCTGTTGTGTGTGGAAGGGGTGCCCCTGACCTTGTTGGGGCGCCCTGATGGGGATGGAGGATGTGTTTTACCTGTGTCTTGGGCAATTTTTTTAATAAGAAAAAGGTTCTACTGAAGTCACTTCTGAAACCTGAAGCTGGGCAATTTTAGGAACCCAAGACTGCAATCATCAGCTACATTTGGAGTCAACTTGTTTTTAAGGATTTGAAGAGAGAACCCAACTCTTCAGGACAGTCTGGCGGGAACACAAGGAGGTGGTTCTGGGGCTATTGCTGTGGGGCTGGGGGAGCTTTTCTCAGTCTAATCTGGTGAAAACTTCCCTGTCTTCTCTTACTTTCTGAAGGAAATAGAAACATGGGCTTGGTCCTTCCTCCAGAGTGGAATTGGATAGAAATGAAGCCTATGTCTAGTTAGGTTATTACCGGCACATTTAGTTCTGAGCCTCCTCTGTTACTTCCTGGTGGACTGGCTGCGAAGCCTGGCATTGGCCTGTAGTATCAAGAACCCAGAGATCTTAGAGATGGCCTCGTCCCAATTCTGAAGTGGGTAACACTGTTCCAAGGATGGCATTAGCCTGTCTTTCCTGGTAGCATCAGTGTGGTTTGGGGGTGGGGCAGCCCAAGGCCTTAAGTTGTGCCTCTGACATAGGTGTGTGTGTGAGCCACCTACCTTCTCCACCTCACTCTTCTTGAGGCCTTCCCCTCAGTGTCCTGCACCCTTCCCACTTCTGCCAGCCCAGGGTTCCACCTGCCTCTTCCAAAGGCCCTTTAAGCAGGGTAGAATGTTGAGCTGAAACTTTAAATTCTCCACATACATCCTGTTTCATTCATTTCTTTCAAATTCACTTTAACCTCATTACAATATTCCCTCCATGCAAACCAAAAACACATTCATGGCTCAGGACCCATGCAGCCCTTACTGGGGCAACAAAACACCTTTTTAGCTAACAAAAAGAAGGCAGGCTCCTGTGTTTGCCCTCCAGAGCTAACCTCAGGGTCCCATCAGCTCCCCAGTCCTCCTCCAGCCCCAGTAGGGAGGACTGCTGACCTTCTCAGGTCATACAGAGTACCTAATTGGGACTTGGGGGCCAGGAGGCATGCCACTAACCAAGAGGGGAGTGAGTGGCGCACCCCTGCCCCAGAGGACTTCTCCCATTGTGTTACCTTTGCACAGCAGTTTGCCCCCAAGACTGAGTGAGTAAGAAGAGCAGACAGCAAGTCCTTTTACTATTTGGGTTCATGATTCCACTGCCCTCAGTGGGATGGCACCTCTATTGGGGCCACTGGGGTCCAGTATGTGCTATTGGTTGGGGTGCCTCAGCACTTCTCCCCATGGCCACTCTTCCCACAGAGGAGCCTGCATTTGTCCCTGGCAGCTCAGGGGAAGAAGCACTGCCTGGAGCCATGACCCACTGGCCTGCTCATCCATTGGTGAAAGCAGGTCCAGGCCAGAATCAAGGACAGGGCAGGGGACTTCTTGTGGGAGAACAACATGCCTACTCAAGGTGGCATTGTGGCACCAGCCTCACAGCCTACCAGCAGGATTCATCTGCTACTCTGGGGCCCACCCGTGCTGTTTTCGAGCCACATGGATTCATGGCTAGTGTACCTGGTGACCGGGACTTACCAGGTTACTCTGCAGCCTCAGCCATTTATAAAATCAGGTGATGCTGGCTCCCCCACTCTTGGGATCATTGTGACAGTTGACTGAAAAATGCTCAGGCCAGTTCCTAGAACCCTGAAGCTCCTCAGTACAAGAGGTGAGAGTGGCCATGTTTCCAGAGTAGAGAAGGTCTTGCTGCAGCATCTGTGATACAGAAAAGCTTTGTCCCCCTGGCTGACACGAAACACTTCCACCAGTTAGGTCTCATGTGGCAAAAAAAAAAAAAAAAAAAAAAAGCCTGTTGCCTTGAGCCTCCGATGCCTCCATGACTCCCCTGAAGTACCCTCTGAGCTACACACCTGCTCAGCAGAGCCCGTGTCTCAGCTACGTGCATGCCATAATCCTCCAGTGGTAACATGCCTTTCTTTTCTTTTTAATCTTTTGACTTCAGCAAAGAATGGAAAGGAATTGGTCAGCCCTTGTTTGTCTCCCAGCTACAGAGGAGAGTGGGAGCATGCTGAAATAACATACAGAATTTCAGGACAGAAAGCAGGTATGGTGGATTTATTATTTGCTGGTGGCTCATATGGCAGCATGCCCCCCCCCCATACCTTCCGGATGCCTCTGAGAAGCAGGGAGACTATGGCCAGACCTCTTTCCCAGACAGGCACACAAAGTGGAAGTGGGAACAGCTCTGGGCACTTTGTCAGGGCTCTTGGGAGCCCTTGCCAGAATGCGCTGGGAACTGCCAACTCCCGCAGGGTCTTTGCACAAGGCCCCTTTGTCCATTGTCCAAATTCTTTGTAAGAATACATTTGGCTGAATTTTCTGACAAGTGCTAATGAGGGAGGACTTGAACATCCCACAGCTCTGAGACGAATGGCCAAATCCAGACTGTCCAGTAAGCCAAAACCCATCTCTGATATAGCGAGGGAGCCTCTCCTGCACAGTGGGCTTCCCTCGGGCTGCGGCCAGGACAGAAGGGGAGAAGCTGGAAGGGCCTCTTGGCTGTGATGGGTCTTGCCAGCCTGGCCCCTTGCAGTCTTTGTAGCTTTGGCCATTGGTGGTTGGCTCACTCCCCTACACCTTCCCCACCCAGGAGGGTAGAGGTGGAACTGAGAATTCCTCCAATCACATGATTGGTAGCTGACAAAGAGCCTCTATCCTGAAGCTTCAAGAACCCACCAAAAGTCACATCATTAACACAAACTCAGAGATGCTTGAGAGGTTGTTATGAATAACGGAAGACTCTTCTCACCCTCGTCACTCAGGATCACAAGAGTATTAAAAGCTCTGTATCCAGAACCAGGAACAAAGGCAGATGTGTTTCTTGCCATGCAGTTATGGCATAGTGATTCTGATTCAGTCAAACACTATGACATGCCGTGTGGCAGGTCCTGCCCAGTGCTGGCCACAGAGCAGGCACAGGGCAGACACAGTCCTTCCCTGAATGGAACTGACACTGCAGTGGGTGGAGTTGTGCAGTGAAATGAAGGAGAGAGTGCTTTGAGGATAAAAAAAAAAGTGGAAAAAGAGGTAATTGTAGTACCTTGGTGATATTTAATCAGGGTTTTGGAGGAGCAGGCCTGGAGTGTGAGGACCCCAGGCAGGCTCTTTCTCAGTTTGAGCCTTTATCAAGGAAAGACTTCAACATGGATACCAAAGGTACAGAAAAGCCAGAAATGTGTTGATAAGAGGAAGAACAGGAAAGCTCTCCGAGCAGAGAGGGATCTCGAATGTGGGGCTACTCAGGTGACAAGAAGCAGGTGTTTATGTAGGCAGAGACAGGGGTTGGCCATTGGGTGCCTCCACATGTTGTCCCTTGCTGATTGGCTGGGCCTTTGGGGTTCACCTAGTTTACCGAGGCCACTGAATTTTCCACTTTACCCAGCCTGCCTTTCCAAAACAGCTTAAGTCTGTTGCTATAGTGTTCTGGACATTCCATTTTTAATGAGTTAGGCCAGGTTGTGGGAGGGTGGTGTTCCTCAAACGGATAAATGGACCTGGGGCATGGGGCACCCCTTTCCTAACGTCCTCCTTCAATATTTGAACCAAGACATGAAGAAATGGGGAATGAGCCATGTGGGCCTAAGGTAGCAGATGAGAAGGAGCAGCAGATACAAATACCTGAAGCAACTGCTGCTTTTAAAGAGCAAGAGAGGAGACAAGACTGGTCTGACACATGGGGAAGTGCAGGGAAGCAAGGACATCGCTGGAAAAGGTCCCCAGGGACGGGGCACAGGCACCCCAAGCCTGCTAACACTGGCTCTATGCTCTCTCTCTGGCAGCAGTGAATCTGCACGAGCTGTGTGCTAACAGAGTGTCAGCAGTCCTCCAAAGTAAAGTGCACAGAACCGCAGAAGTGAAGGATGTGGATTTTTATGCTTTTTCCTACTATTATGACCTGGCAGCAACTGTTGGCCTGATAGGTAAGGAAGGTTCTGTTTGGCTTCAAGGGACCTTGGTTTGAGTCCCTGACCCTTCCGGGCAAAGGGGCCGCAGCAGGGCATGAGGAGGTATCAGACACTGCCCAGACCCTCAGCAGTGTGTGTCACTGCTAACTCCTCCACACCACAGTTTTCAGGCACACTCAGAAAACCCCCAGGAGTTTTCAGGCACACTCAGAGCAGAGACATGAAGAGTTTGCACGGCCAATGGGGTATTCAGATGCCTGAGACAGTTGTGAAGTCTTTTCTGTGGGCTGTGGCCAGGATTATTTTAATGTAACATTAAGGAGATGGAGAAGCAAGGGGTGTCAATCTCTGGCTTCCTGGAACCCAGGCACCTCCCGCAGTTTCTCTCTTGCTGAGCTACCACTGACCTGGCCAATATGAAGGCAGACACAGAGGGGTGGTCTGAATGGGCGGGGACTTCTCCCCCCAACCCCCTGAGGCCCACTTTCCTGTGGCACAAAGCAAGTTACCTGGGTGCCCCTGCTGGTTAGCCTGCCAGGCTTAGAAGGTCTCTGCTAGCTCCCCAGATCTAGAAAAGCATGTCCTTGTGTGATCTGACCATGTGGTTATGGACACCTCCGTGCCTGAGTCCCCCGTACCTCCAGTTGGCCTGGGCACCTGCTGTTCTGCCCTTTCAGGCTGGCTCCTGCCCAGGACCCTCTGGGCAATGCAGGGTCCCTCATTTTGTCTCAGGCTGCCTTTCCCCGGATGTTTAACATCATCCTGGGGTGACGCAGGATGCTGGGCTGAGGATGCTAGCTCCCTGTTGGGGTCACAGGTAACTGGAAGGAAGGCTTGGTTCTGTTTTCAGCAATGGAATCCACCTTAGCATGACACACCCCCAAATTCTCAAAAAAGTTAGGAGATACCCTTTTTCTCAATACACTGAGTAGCCACCTCATACCAGCCATAAGTCTATGGGACACCTTGGGGACCTTCTGTTAAATAGCGAGCTTTTGAGGTATGTTGATAAAACCAGTCACTATCCTTGAGAGTCAGGGAACCTAGTACTTCATGCCTCCCTCCCCTGGAATGACTCAGAGGCCACATTATTTGGGGTGTCCCAAAACTTGCTGAGTTCAGGGCTCACAACTTCAGGAAAGTTTTAATTTGTTTTTCTTTCTCTGCCTTTATTTGTTTGCCATAAAAGTGTGCTCACTCTGGGATTGGGGGATCCTAGTTAGCTTCCTCTATAAGGCCGCTGACACTGCTGAACCCCCCCCCCCACTGCCACATGGGCCTGCAGGAAACACTTGCCCACCCCAAGCCAACTCGCAGAACTCATAAGCAGGGGACACACTGGCCTGTGACAGCCAGGTGGTAGCCTCTCCAGACACACAGCCTATGCCCCTCTCAGGCTCCCCAGGGGCCAGCGGGGGGCATCAGTCCTCCTACAGCCTGAGTTCTTGGCTTCTGTTCTCCAGATGCAGAGAAGGGAGGCAGCCTTGTCGTCGGAGACTTTGAGATTGCTGCCAAGTACGGTGAGTGGTGGCTGTGTTGGCAAGGTGAGAAAGACCAGGACACTGTATTTCTTCCAGAAGGCTTCCCTCCTGACCCCCTCCCCAAATGGCTTTTTTTTTTTTTTAACTTTATTGCCACCCTGGTCTTATCCTATGGACACTGGTGTCTGTGACTCTTCAGTAGGAAAAAGTGCTTGGGCAGAAAGCTCAGGTCCTTGCTGGGAGAAGTGCCCAGGATCCTGACCGCAGAGATGTGGGCCTCCACCCTTGACAGCAGGCCAGGTGCACCAGTCCTCTTGGTTCTAGCAGCCAGAGGTACAGTCTGCAGTGGGCCTGGGTGTATTTCGTGGGAGATGACACTAAAAGGGCAAGGCCCACAGAGCCTGGTATAGGTGGAGTCAGTCTGCACTCTGCCCACCCTCACCCCCCGGGAGTGAACCACCCGGATCCTCATTGGGAATGTCCCCCCACAGTGTGCCGGACAGCAGAGACCCAGCCACACAGCAACCCTTTCGTGTGCATGGATCTCACCTACATCAGCTTGCTGCTCCGAGAATTTGGCTTTCCTGAGAACAAAGTGCTGAGGGTAAGGACTCGCCTATTGGGGCCTTGACCCCCTCCCCCATACCCTGTATGGCATAGAGACCAGGACACTGCTTCTGGCCTCCTGAGCACCTTGCAGCATTCAAAGTAGTCCCCGCTGTCCCTCCCTTTGTCTTTTCTAGCTGACTCGAAAAATCGACAATGTTGAGACCAGCTGGGCTCTGGGGGCCATTTTTCATTACATCGATTCCCTGAACAGACAGAAGAGTCAAGCTTCATAGTGGCCAAGCTTCCCAGTCATCCTCACAGAAACAGTCTGTCTCCATGAGAACAGGCCCTCTTAGGAGCCCTTGACATGGAGGGAGGAGGCCATAGGCCCGGACCCTCTCCCCTGTGGCCTTGCAGACCTGCCCCTGGACTGGCAGAGGGCTAGAAGCCAGTGCAGCCCGATGCCTTCTCCTGCCCGCCTTGGCCCCAGGTGGGCAGGACCCCAGGCAGGACAAAGGGCACACACGGAGGCTGGGGCAACACACCACCCCCTTCCTGCACGTTGAGCAGCTGTGATGTGCAGCCCATGACAGGATCTTTCTGTCTCCCTGCCCCTGTGTGTTTCCCCCACCAAGTGCAGACTTCTCCCTTTTCCCCACAATCAGCGTGGTGGTTGTACAGCTGTCCTGGCAGTTCTGAGGGTGAGCCAGGTGAGAACTGCGGCCCCAGTTCTCTGGGAGCCTCGGGGACAGTGTGTCACTGGAAGGCTGTGAACTCTGTTTTTAAATGTTTGTCTCCTCCTTGGGTATGGACACGGGAAGTCATCCACGGTCTGCATCAGTCCCCAGAGAACAACTGTGTGTGAACTGCTGTAAACTATTTGTGACTGTGCTGTATGAGTGACGTCTGTTGTGTGGTGCTGAGTGCTTGTGTAGCAGCCACGTTCTGAGCCCCAGTGAATGTATCGCTATCCTGAGCCGTTCGCAGTCAGCAGTGTGAGAAGACATAACCCTTGGGGTCAACTGGAGCTGCAGTCCCAGAACCAGCCTCCGGCACCTGGGGTCACAGCTGACCCACCAGCAGCTCCACAGGACATGGAGCCTCATCCTGCATCTGCAGGCTGAGTCATGGACCATTTGTTCAGACGTGGGTCCAGCCCACAGGCATCTCTGCAGTGAATGTACAGTACACAGAATAAGCTAAGCCTCATGTGTTCCTCTCAAAATAAAGGGTTTATGAGGCTTCAGTGTCTCTTATTTCTGTGTGAGAAAGTGACATATGTCCACCCCACTGCACCTCGGGAACCAACTCAACAGGAGAGGGTTGACAGGTGCTGGTGCAACTAAGTCGTGTTCGTGTGTATCACTGGCAACATCAAAAGGATACATGAGGCCACTGTCAGGTCCTCCTGATGTCTCTTAGCAACAATTGGCCCTGTGCCGACCCAGTGCTCTGACAGGGGACCTTCGTTTTCCAGCTCTCTGTCAGAGCAGAGATCCTCGGGGAGAGGGAGATCCCTCCTCCCTGTGACCATGACCCAGCCATGTGCCAGTAAGGCCTGGGCACTGCCTTTCTCGAGTGGTGTTCTCAAGCAAGCACTAGCCCCAGGTTATAGTATTCACCTGCCAAGAAGCTCTGACTTTAACCTGGGACAGTTGGAAGGGCCATATGCCCTGCAAAGTCTGGGCAAGCCCTGTCCTCAACACACAGCGCCTGCAACCCCCAAACCATCAGAGGGCCTGACCAAAGGGAGCTTAGGGTCTAGCCCTTGCTCTGGGGCCTTCACAGGACCCTCCTCCTGGTGGCCCATGTGCAGGAAAGAGGGTGGTACAGAAAAGGAGGGGGCAGGGCTCCCTGCCTCTTCCCCAGAGGCAGAGGAGCAGAAGGAGCCAATGGAAGTCCTCTTGATCCTGGAGAAGCCCTATGACCACAGGACACTCAGGGACTGTCCTTCTCAGAGTGTCCCAATCTCCAGAGGACTGGAGGAGACATCCAGGATGCAGCCACTCAGATTCTGCTCTCCTCCCCCGAGAGGTTTCTCTAAAAACTTCACCCTGGGGCAGAGGTCTGGAGGTCAGTGTGTCACATGAGTAGGAAAAGTCAAAGGAAAAACACTTCCCCCAAATAAAAAGCACCTGAGAACTAAAGCCTGGGCAAGGACATGAAAACCTGGCTTCTCCCCGACATACCTGCCCACCCCTGCCTCATCTGGGCCTCCCCGAATCCTTGTCCTTCTATAACATCTAATCATTTAAATATTTGAAGAACTCCGGAGGCAAGGAATCAAAGATGCATGAGGGTAGAAGCAAAAATTGATTCATTCCCTTTATAGGTTAGTGATCTCACATTGAAGGAAGTGTAAACAACTGGAAGTTTCCCAGAATGTCACCAAATAAGTCATGGAATATCTTGGAGGCCAGCAAAATACACAAGTCATTTTACTCAAACAATAGATTAGTTTCTTGTTTGGAAAAAGAAATAACTGCAATTGCATATCCCAACACACTGTAAAAGATGCAAACTCAAAATCCCTTGAAAACATTGTAGCTCCCATGTGCGTGCCCCACCTCAAAGAGGATGTGCACCTAGGAACTCGGTTCTTGCACCCCCACACCACTGCTGCCTGCAAGTCTACGCATGCCTATTCTCAGAACAGCCACCTGTGATGGCTCCAGGTTGCCTGTCCTGGGGTCCTTGTGCCATTCCCAAGACTGGATGACAGAACCCAAGGCATCAAGTTCCCAAACCCACACCTGTGTGTGTGAAGCACCCTGATGTTGCTGGACCACTTTAAATTGTCTCCTTGCTGCTAGATTTCCCTTAACTCCACAGCCTCCCAGCACAGCTGTGATCCCAGGATTTCCTCTACCAGTGACAGGTGGTAGCTGGTAGTTCCCCATGCACTATGACCTAATTCATCTTGTAAGTCTGAGAGTGCTTCCTCTTCTGTGAAATATCTGTTCATATCCCTTGCCAATCTGTCTACAAGATTGTTGTCATCTTGCTGATACTAGATTTTTATATTTTAAGAAAATTAGTCATTGTAATGAGTTGCAAATTGCCTTATTTTATTATTGCTTTTTGACTTTATGGTGGTTTTATTAATGCACATTTTTATGTATTTAATTGACATTTTTAATATAATTTTTTATTAACAAATTTTGTGATAATTAGAAAGGCTTCCTCACTGAGATAATTTTAAAAGTTAGCAAGTTGATTTTGTGTGTGTGTGTGATTTTAGTTTTTACATTACTTTAAGAATTAGCAGCACCTGATTTGGGATACTTTTGGACACAATAAATCACAGTTTCAGGATGGATTTGATTTTTAGAACCATTTCAGACTCCACCTAGAGTAGAGGAAACATTGGTGCCCATGGGTGGTGCCCATAGTTTGTTCCACCCTATGATTTGAAAGGCTAGGGGATTCATAACATGGGCTTGTGAAGAGGGTAACAAGATTAAAAGAAATAAAACTACCATGTTGCTATTAGCTGAGAGAAAGGATATGAAAGAAGTTAGTTGATGTGACAGTTACTCCCTGTTGAGCCACTAGAGTCTCTACTGATGTTGCGAAGCGTTTGAAGTCTCCCCATGTTAGGACCGGAGAATAGGGATTTTTTGTGCTCCCCATCAAAGAGTGGTTCTCAGTTGATGGAGAGGTCAGTCTCTGGATCTGCATCCTTGAGATGATTGACCATGGGGTTGTGCTGCCTCATGGTAAGGTCTAGCACAGCAGAAATCACTGCATACCCTCTTCCCCATGAGAATAAGGGAGCCGGGCCTAGCCACTTAGGATCAGGTAGTTGGTTGTATAAAACTGAAGGTTGATGGTCATTTTCTGAGAAATGAAGTGCAACTGGTGTGACTAGGTTCCATTCTGTGCCTCTATCTGTGCCTCTCTGCTGTAAATGATTTAATGTGAATAGAGCTTTAAAAAGCTGAGTATGAGTATGAGGGGAGGAGCATTCCCAAATCCCTTTGTTTTGTTAAGAAAAGTTTAAGGAATCTGTAGCACATTCTACAATAGCTTGACCTTGGGGTTATAAGGAATACCAGTAGTGTGTTGACTACCCCCAGAGAGATAGAAAGGTTTTAAGATATTTAGAGGTATAAGTCAGGTCACGGTGAGTTTTAATTTGGGAAGGACTGCAAGTAAAGATAACGAATAACATGAGAAGAACATTTGCAGTTGGGCTGAGCCATGGCACACAGCAATCCTGAAAAGCTATCTATTGTAACATGGAGACAAGATGAGTGACCAACGAAGGGTCTTTGGCTTGAGTGCTGCACAGATTAACACCTGAAGGAAAAGTGGGTCTGGAGCATTGACAGCCCAAGCTCAAATAACATATGGTGCCTACGTGAGGGGAATGTTAAGATGTTTTTGCTAGACTCCTTGATGAAAGAAGGAATGGGCAAGTTATAGGATCTGCAAATATGTTAAATACCCTAAGGGCAGTGACAGTGATGCATTGCCTTTAGATAGTGAGCCTGGTAGACTGGAATGACTAGGAATGTGAGTGATAAAAATGGGATGAGTATGTAAGTTAATGAAGTAAAATCTGTAAAGAAATAAAAGCCCATAATAGGGCTTCATCAATGTAAATGTTAAATAGGGCCTAGGGGAGGTCTTGTTTCAAGGAGGTATCGTATAACAAGTCAGAGATGATATTAAGTGATTGTGAAGGACATGAGGAAAGTGCCAGAATAACAGCAGCCAGTTCAGCACGTTGGGCCAAAGAAAAGGTGCAGTGTAGGCAGTTTGCCAAGAGGCATCCAAGTCTGTGCGCCAGACCATCACTCCACACCAGTAACAGAGGAACCATCTACGTACATAGTAAGAGCCTGGGAAATGAGAGCATTAACAACAATACTGAAGGAATAAATAGGGAGAAGCTGTAGGGATTGAACGTGTTCATGGGGGTGCAGGGAGGAAGGTTTAAATAAAAGAATAATCCGACGTAATCGGATTATTTGAAATTGCTCTGATTGGGTGAGGAGCCATTCTGTTTCCTATGTGGAGAGTCCTGTGTTAATAGATTTAGAGGTATAAGTCAGGCCAAGGTGAGTTTTAATTTGGGAAGGACTGCAAGTAAAGATAACGAATAACATGAGAAGAACATTTGCAGTTGGGCTGAGCCATGGCACACAGCAATCCTGAAAAGCTATCTATTGTAACATGGAGACAAGATGAGTGACCAACGAAGGGTCTTTGGCTTGAGTGTTGCACAGATTAACACCTGAAGGAAAAGTGGGTCTGGATTCCAGTCTACCAGGCTCACTATCTAAAGTTAATCATGTGTTAACCAGGATTATAGCTGGATAATGACTGACAACAAAAACAAGCTTTTTGTATCAAAGAACATCTTTGAGAAAAAATAAGTGGATAGACAATTTTTAGGCTGGGAAGAGAGAAAGAGCCATTCAATAATGCAAAAAGGTTAGGTTAATTGTCCAATAAGTCCTGTAGAAGAGGGTATGTTTAAAAATAAATAACGAGAGAGATTTTAGGGTCCCAACTATCTAAACAAGAGGCATGAAGGTGGTTGTTGAGAAATGTTAATTGTTGTTTTGCTTTGTCAGTGAGCAAGTGACTTGAGGCTTGGTTTAGGTCACTTTTTTTTTTGTAAGATTTATTTATGCATACAGAATTGGGGTACAGGCCAGAGGTGGAGGGACAGTGAGAGGTTTCACCAGAGACAGAGTGGGGAGCAGAACAGGCAGATCAACACTGCTGAGGAGAGCAGTGGGCAGGTCCGGAGAGGTCTTTCCCTCCATGTGGATCACCTCTGAGGTGGGGATTGAACTCATGCTGAAGTGGCTTTAGCTTCTTAGTGCTGTGCTTTAACGCACTGCGCCACCAGGGAGGACCCTAAGTCACCTTTTTAAAAAGGCAACAGTTCAGAAAGAGGTTAAGTGGGATTCCATGAGTTGGATATAATGTTTCCAAAAAACAGTTAAGTCAGAGCCCGGTAAGCTTAAAGTAGATTTTTATAAAATATTTACTCAGGAGTGACAAAGATTTTTAGGAATGCTCTTAATTGATGTGAAAATCACCTTGTAGGGTTAGGCTCCTATGACCGGCAGTTCTGACCTTGCTTTAGGAATACAAAACTGTAGGTAATAAAATGAAGGCTGTATAGACCGCTTAGGACTAGCAGACCCACATAGAACCTGCTGGTTTTTTCATAGCCAATAATTGAATCATCACAGCCACTCATGGTGTGGGTACTGAAACCAAACAAGTCCAGAGGGGATAATCAATTGGTGGATCCTCACCTACAAGCTTGTAACTGCAGACACAACACCAATTGTTTCCACATAGTATGGAGTAACAGCAACAGAATTTATTTACATGGGGGGAAGAAAAGAGAGAGTGAGTGGGAGTATTCACTGGCTGGTACTGGCTGGCTGCCATCTGCCCTACCCCAGGAGCATCCC